TCTCATTGAACCACTGACGCAGGCTGGCACTTCAAGGCTTGCCAATGCCCAACCCGCAAGGCAAAAACGGGAGAGGTGTTGTTAGTCGTAAGTGCATTTGAAACTGGGTTCAGTTAACTCAATCACACTGGCGCTAATTACTTTGCAGCTCCAGATGCAATCATAAGACCGCTTGTAGAGCAGTATGTTGCCAATGGTTACAGCAATCAAGAGATCATCTCTCGTCTTCGGGCACACCAGGAGACTAGCAAGTTCAATATATCGTGAGTCATAGCTACCTAAACATACCTTCAAACAGAGCTTCTGATGTTTGAATTATCAGACTGAGCCTCTTGAAAAAGCGACGTTCACAGTGGGGAGTTATGTCTGCCCGTGGTCAAGCACACAATTGAAAGCATTGGACCTGCCATCGAGCGTGTTCGTCAACGGTTCCCCAAACAGGGCTCGCACGACATGAAGCAAACCCTTAGGCAAGAGGAACATATCATGGTTCCAAGGTTGTATATGATGTTCTGTCGCTACACATTTACACTGATTGAATTGTTTTCAGAGACTTAATACTGCGGTACATGAACCTTCACCATCCAGATGAAGTTCAGCGCCGGAAGAGTCGCCGGCTCAAACGCAGCACTTTTTGGACTGCAGGTCTTCACGACATTTGGGTTTTTGACCAACACGACAAGTGGCGTCGTTTTCAGCTCTTCCTACATGTTGGTATCGAGCCGTTCTCAGGGCGAATACTCTGGCTCAAGATCTGGTGGACCAATCACAATCCACGCTTGATCTGTGGCTGGTATTGTGACACGGTCCAAAGCCTTGGAGGTAATTATTTGCATCCAGTCTCAATTGTCAGCCTACTAATGCAATCATTCAAGCTATGCCTCTCGTTACCCAAAGTGATCCGGGCACAGAGAACAACGGGATTGCGAACGGTCACACCATGCTTCGTCATCTTCAAGATCCAGGTCTAGCACGCACCCTGCAGCACAAGTTCAGAGGCGACCATCGCAATATAAAGCCAGAAATTTTCTGGAGCCAATTGCGCGTCGCTGGACTCCGGGTTTCGAAGATATTCTCGATTTCGGTTTGAGTGCAGGCATCTATAACCCGGATGATGCACTCGAAAGGTTCTTCTTTTATGTCTTTGATACTTCTTGCACTAACACTGTGTGGAACATAGACTTGTATTTCACTTTGTTTTCATTCCGTGGCTCCAGCATGAGCTCGATCTTTTTGCCGATAAGTTCAACAACACTAAACCCCGCTTCAACATGCACAAAATCCTACCACATGGTCGCCCCAATGATATCTTCGATTGCCCTGAGAAATTTGATTGTCGGGACTTCTCTGTAAGCTGTCAGACACATTCTTGTCCATATATTAATGTTTTGCAGGTGATCGTCGATAATTCCTCACTTGAGGAGGTCCGGAAAACATACGCTCCTTCCGATCACCCCGTTTTTCTCTTGGTACCCCAGGAATTCTCCCAGCAGGCTACGGCATTCATGTCTGAGCTCGGTCATACTGTACTGACTCGTGACATATCTGGGACGTGTATTCAGGTCTTCTTATGTGCTTTCGAGCCATTGAAGGCGAGGATCCCATTCGAAGTGTCATCACCACAGCCAAAGATCCTGCGACGGTGAAAAACTAATTGGGTCTAGAGGATGTGTTCTGGATTTACCGCCATTTGTTGAAGGGGCTGGATATCGTGTACCCACTGGTGAATCTGCGGCAGTCAACTCATCAGATGAAGAGTCTGACTTCTACGAGTTTACCTGGACAGATGAGGAGGCAATTTAGATTCAGCAAGTCGAGTAGTACTGTAGTCTATCTTAGTCCGCATCTGTTGGTGCCATTGATATTGTAGTACAATTGATTTCCTGTTTGAGGCTGGTATCACTGGTGTCAGTATCGCATACCACCTTATTGAACTCTTCTTGCTTTTCCTCGAACAACTGCTCAGGATCGTGATGCTCAAAGCAAGAAAATTCTGTTAGTTGGTCTCATGCTGATCATGGTGTCTTCTGACGTGTTCGAGTCAGGCTCAGTCGGTCGGCCAGTGCATCGAAGGGCTAGCTATCATGCTACAGGATCTGGGAAGACAGACACCTTTATTTGATCACTTGAGAATCACACTTCAAAAGAACAACCGTGACTGCAAATCACTTGGACATTATATGTCTAACATGGTTCAAAAGCCTCCAGCATCCCTTGCTCGTCCTCTGAATCCACCATGGCAGACTTTACCCCCATGAATCCAAACAGCTGGAGACTTTGTCAGCGTTGCAACACACTTCGAATCAACTGTACCATTTACATACGTGCGTGGTAAAGACGGCTCAGGCCGTACATGTTGCCCGACCTGCAAAGCATTACGAGGGACGTAAAGCTATAGAACAGACTCGAGGCCAGCAAGCTACAAGCATTGGTGAGTCCAACTTTGATGAGTCCGAGTCGTCCAAAACTAATCAAATTCATTATCATTCATGTCACAGACTTCACAGCTGCTGAGGGGCCCTCGAGACCTGAGCTGGTAAAGCAATGTCAGCAGCGCAACGTGGAGGTTTGTCATGCTCTGAGGGCTTCCGGTTTGTGTAACAAAGCTTAATAGTACTATCTTATAGACAACATCTTTCCCAGTCAGCGCTTGGCCATCCAGCCCACACACTGGCAGGTGACCGCGGAAAAATGCTTCCTCCTCCAGTTCCTGCACATGCAAGCATGGGATATACGCCCAATCATGCCGTGCACCAGCTGCATCGCAGCAAGATGGCTCAGGCAGCAATCGTCAGGGCCGCTTCCATCAAGTCATGATTCGAGTTGCCTTACATCACCTGAAACCAGAGGGAAAGTCGGGCACAGTGTTAGTTGGTGTAGGTTATATTAATTCTAACTCGCACTGCTCTCAACTTGCGAAATTTACAGAATATCGAACGTGATGTGCGTGTTGCGCTCAACATTACCCTAGCTCAGCTCCAGTCCGAGGTAATCAACCAGCTCGAACCATTATGGGCAGAGTGGTCGCGCAGCCACTCTCTCTCCCTCTATAGCCTGGAAATGCACAAATCACCAAAGTTGATTCTTTACGACCAGAGACAACCATCCATTGGTGCTAATGAACCAGTCCTACAAGAATTCTTCGTGCGTGCAACACCCAAGGACCCCACACCCAAATTTTTTGCAAACGCCCGTGTCGCCATCCTTCTTGTAATGACAAATGCGCAGTTTGAGGATGTGTTGCTCTGGCAAGAGCAATGTGTCAATGTAGGTCTTTTTTCATGTTTTCAGTGATACTTTTCACACTTAGCTCAATCTCACAGAACATTGCACCAAGTGTCGACACTGATGTGCAAAATGTACTAACATCAGCCTCTAGTATCCCTGCAAAGAAAAGGGTACTGCAAAGTCAAGGTAGCAGCAACGATTCTAGCCCATCGCCACCACGCCGCCCTGCACGCAAGCGCTCCAGGAAGGTGAGTTGAGGTGCTCGTATATTGGCAGGTCTAACCATATTTGATACCACAGTTTCCGATATCTGAAATTAGCGAGGTCCTGGCAGGTGACGATGTCTCAAAGGATGAAGACCAATCCAATGTCTGTGGCGGCCCTTCAAAGCTGGAACAGTCGCAACCTGTCTTAGCAGCAAGCGCTCTCATATCAAAAAAAACTCTTCTTACCCAGCCAATCTCAACTACAAGCGGCCATGAAAGCTCAGGGAAATGTTAGAAAACAAGCATCCTCTACTATAGGTACGTGCCTTGAACTTTTAGAATCGCTCAACTAGCTCACATTATGTGATGACAGGTGCTGGATGTGTCCCTATCACCTTTCGTCTCTTCGACATCCCTTCCATTGGCTTCGCAGCGCTCGTTTCTACACCATTCAGTACTACTGATAGCAAGTACACTGTCGCCGCACTCACCATCGACACCAGCTCCAAATCTATGATTGGCTTGGCAGGAAGCTTCAAAACGTGTCACCCTGCCTTGATTTCAAATGCAGACGTTGTCCCATCCATGTCTACATCACTGCCACCATCTGTTCTGTCAGCCGAGCAGGTTGTAGCTAAACGCGTGTTTTTTCGGAAGGGCCAAACCATGGGGCGTTGCCGCTTTGCAAGGGAGGATGAGCTGGAAAAGACACTCGACGAGGTGAATTGCCTTTACTGGGGCACATCATTGCTCGGTATGGCGTACACCTTCGTTGACGAGATGCTCAAGACTGGCAATGTGAGCCAAGATGTCGTGGTTGAGTTACCACGTCTAAGGCTGGTTCGTGCGGCACTAGCCATTCCCGATGACCCCAACAACGACCTCGGCGCAAACTATCTCATCGAGGAGCGGATTAGCGGAAAATTCGTCAAGTACATCAACAACAACTCTGCCGTCCCCGCCCATAGTCTAGAGGGCAGAGAAGCAGTCATCGGACTGTTTTTATGCTTTGTTCAACACGTGCAATATCACCTTACTAACAACATGGTATATCTATCTGATTTCCAAGGCGAGTCCTCAACCCCTCACCTGACTGTCACCCACAGCTAACTGACTGCGCTTGGCATAGGTTCTGGTAACCTCCTTACAGATTGCCAAGTGCTAACAGGCTCGTGAGTTTGTACCTACTACTAAGCCTTGGACTGTCATACTAACACGAGCCTTCTCTAGAGCTTTCATGAACAATTTCGGTGGAGGAAACTGCACATCTGCTTTTAACAGTTTCAAGACCACACATATATGTAATAAGTTCTGTCGTGTTTTTGGCTTGCAACCTTATGTTATGTAGCATTTTAGCACTCGGCGCACTACCATTCTTGCTGTATAAAATTACCTGATCATAGTGTTCATCTTGCGAGTTACTTTGGCTTGTAGATCGCCTCATTGACGTGAACATCAGTACTACAGAATCATGTACTCTGTCACTTTCATGGCCAAGCAGAGTGCTACTAAGAGACCGCGATAGAACTAAGAGACTGCGATAGAGATGCATGCGTGAGGCTGTCACTGAAGTGCATTGCAAAAGCAAAAGTAGACAGTGTATATACTTATATCTAATTCTTCCTGGCCCTCGTGCGCTACGAAATGCGAACGGAGCTGCTCGGTGTTTGCGCTCACGAAGAAGCTGAATTGGGTGAGGATCACGGTCCAGACGTCATCAGGGCGGAGGATGAGCCCACAATGATTGTTGTATGCCTCAAGCACGGTATGCACGAATCCGTTGGGCTTTGGCATGACATCACGCACCACATTGAGCTCGATGGGGAGGGACGTGTGAAGGAGCTCAAGACAACGTGTGAATTGCTCAGGGGAGATCTTTTCGAGAACGGTAAGGTAAGGGTTTTGGTGAAGAGGGATCTGAAGACGATAGTCTTCTGTAAAAGACTCGGCGGGGTGCGTGGCGGGACAGAATGAAGTCACGCCAGGAGGAAATTGTTGAGTCTGAGAATAGATCTGGTGCTCAGTATGATTCAACATTGGGAATGAGATGAACATACCGTGGAGAGCGGGGACAGAAACTCAAATGATGCCGCAGAACTAGCTGTAGAGGATATTGGGGAGAACTCATGAGGAGACATGGCGTGTGTGGGGGATGTGGTTGAGATGACTCTCTGATGCCGTTTCTGAAGCCTTGAATGGTTGATCAGTGACTTGTACTAGAAGTATCTGCAAGCGCTGATGGGACGTGTGATCCCTTTAAGTTATGAGCCGATTTATCTAACACGTGTCATGAATGACGCACCTTTACATCCACGGGCTCCTCAGGGAGAATAAATTCTTGCATGTCGCCATCATTGACTACGACATAATCGTGCATGCTAGTAGCATCATCCAAGCTCGTCAGACTGAACAGAAATGCCAGTAGCATTGAGTGGGATATGGAGTGACAGCCATCGTCCCATATAAGGAGATCCATAATGGAACGGGTCACGTGAACGTCTGGAAACCTTGTCAAGCAATTGCAAGGTAACTAGGGATATACAATATACATCAAATAAAATCGAAGAAACAATATTCCTCAAACCAAACAGCGATTGGACATTGAAAATCTGTCCGGCATCTCGGGAAGTCGAACTGTAACCAAACATCCACCATATACATCGTCCGTGTCGCCCACCTGGATAGCCCAATTGGGAAGCCTTATTAGGCTTAGCAATAGCGTGCCTCGTCAACTACAATTAGGCTCGAAAACAGTAATATCCCAACACCAGCATTAAATCACGCCCTAAATATTCTGATACCTTACATATATCTACTGTACTTGTAGCCTGGCGCATATCCCGCCTTATCCCGCCCCGCGCTTGATTCCGGCAGTTCCCACACGCCGCCGATCTTGGTCATGATGGTTGATCTGGCGGGTTCTCACACCTCCTTCCTCCTACCCCCTGCACTGCTGCACACTGCACACTGCTGCTTCTACAGCTCAGCAGCGTTCACCAAGGCCACCACTGCCCTCTACAACATCTGCCTCATCTGCCTCACCCAAAATCCCAGCACCACAGTCGTCTCTGCGCCCCCAGCACGTTGCTTGCAGCATCCTGCCTCCCATCTCATTCTACAACACCTGCCCCAGCACGCTGCCCGCACCAACCTGCCTCCCACCTTGTTATCCTTGCCAACCACCGCCCTCTACAACCCCTGCCCAAGTGGTCTGTGCACCCACCAATGCTCTAGTCTCGGCTACTCACCTACGCCCACAGAGTCATCACTTGGGGATCGCACTATTCAGACATCTGGTCTCCCACCCACCAACGCTCCGCTCTCAGCTACTCGCCTACGCCCACAGAGTCATCACTTGGGGATCGCACTATTCAGATATCTGGTCTCCCACCCACCAACGCTCCGCTCTCAGCTACTCGCCTACACCCACAGAGTCATCGCCTTATCATCCTCACAGTTAACAACCATCCTACCGGCTCCCAATCTCGTCTCGCACCCACCAACACTCTGCTCTCAGCTACTCGCCTACGCCCACAGAGTCATCACTTGGGGATCGCACTATTCAGATATCAAATTTTAAGCCACCAATGCCGCCACTGTCTTCCTGTCAGTTGAGACTTTGAGCTAGTACTCTGTAGCACAAGGACATTATTCATAGTACTTGAGAACTGTGTACACAACAATATATTTTGTGTTTGAGACACACTACCTCTGTTCTGATTCAACGAGTGACACAGCTAATTAACGACATGAAAACATGAACAGGCTATGACTTAACACTAGGTAAGTAAGTATAAGGGGACCTCCCTCACTCCAACATCAAACTTAAAGCAGGTGCGGGGCCAAACATTCGTTCTAAGTCAGCCAACATTGCATCACAGTCAAAGCGAGGGATGGAGTCATCACCGTGAACGGCTGGTTCTGTATCAACAGCTGGTTCTGTATTGTGAGCGGCTGCCTCTGTATCGCGAACAGTTGGCTCTGTATCACTGCTGTCGCTGTCCCCAATTGTCTCTGCGCTCTTGTACTGTTTGCGATGAGCTGTTGCAGATGTTGCTATACTGCGGCGCTTCGTCCCTTTGTCAGATCGAGTGCGGTGGCGATGATCAATTATTGCGCCACTCTCAAGCTTCTCTTCGTGCTCCAGACGGAGTTTCTCGAATTCTTCGTCACTCAAGGACCTCCAGCACGTCGTACCATGATCCCACCTATTGCAAAGCATCTGGAGGTCTGGAAGTGCACTCGATACTTGACTAAGATTCATAAACAGAATTTTATCAGGCCATCCTTCCACGACAACCTGGTACCACTAAACAACATTGCGGAAGTAATGTGCCCATTGCATCTTTGCGCCAGGGTCACCGGTACACTCCTCTGTAAATAAAATTAATAAATTCATTGTTGTAGGGGCGGGGGGGTACTCGCGAAGCTTTCGGTTGATGATGTCCCGGATTTCTGCATGTTTATCGGAGACGCGCTTCTGGTGGTTTTTTGCAGAACCTGAATATAATTAGATTAATACAGCAATAAGAATGAAGACACTAACCTTTCATCCCCTGGACGGCGAAGCCTTCCATTTTGCTGACTAAATCCTGGTTGTCGATCCCCATGACAGTGTCCATGAAGTTGTCAACACCTTGAGTGGCAAACACGACACCTCGGAGGGGAACATCCGTAGATCCACGTGTGGTGTATAGAATAGATTCCGCGCCTGTACGACAATGGAGGCTCTTGAGCTAGAAGATGTGAGGCGATATCAGAGACAAACTCAAAAGAAAACATACCTCATTTTCCACTGCCTTCAATGTTTGCGTGATATCGTTGATTTTTGACTTGGCTGTCATGCGAACACCTGTCTTCTTCATCTCTTTCCATGCAGTGAACTTGGTGAGAAGTTCAACTTGTTCTTCGTTTGAGAGCGCGAGGTATTCAGATTTGTGGTCGCGGACAAGTGTTTGAAGCACCGCTTTACCATGGCTATCTGAAAAAAAAAAAGGATGAGCATGACCGAACTGAGAACACGACAACATGACAATAATAAAAACTTACCGTTCTCTTTCTCTTGATTCTTCTTCCAGCAGAACGCATTCCATAAATTCGCCTTAGAGTGCTTTGAGTGGAGAAGTCCACGACCTATGTATAAATCGTTTTGAACTTGGCGGATACTTTTATGGTGTGAAGTCGCAATTGCTATGGTAGCATTATCGAGCTGCTTCCATGTGTCATCCAAAGCGTCCTTGAACCGAAGGGATTTGGTGCGTTGCTCACCTGAGAGCGGCACGGGCTTCTTTACTGAGCACGATGTTTGAACGTCGATGGGCAGGTGGCTGGATGTGTCTCGCATTTGAACTGCGCTTGTCGGCGAAGAATGACTGGGAAACCATTGACTACAAGGAAGCAGCCGAGACTAGTCAACAACCCACAATTATTTGTCCAGCTATTTAACACACCGAGAAAAGGTATTTTTCAAGTCCGTCAACATTGCGGTTAGGCTCAAATATCACATCATTCCATACTAAGCAAGGCAAAAACATTTGAGATCTACAGTAATAATAAACCAAAAAGGTAAAGCGCACACAAAAACACCAAGATGCCGAGGATCTTGAGGATGGTGGTAAGCGCTGACGCCCGATGCTATGAACAGAAATTAATATAAAAATGTGAAGAATGGAATACTCTGACTAACCTTCGTGGCAACCTCAGGGTTGATGTCCCTTATACCTACCTGTAGGTCCATGAGGAGGGCATTAGACAAAATGGAGGCTTGTTCATAAGTCAAGTCCCACGTCGGGGACCTGAACACTGCCTCCCACCGGCTGCTGCGAACTGATCCCACTAATGTTCGGAGTTTCGGCAAATTCTTGTCACCCAACTTCACCTGATCGAGTGCAGCATCTGTATATGGCCCGATACTAATAAGTGGTGGCCCAACCATTGACAGATTGCAAGCAAGTTGTCCCTGAGTTGGTCCCACAACAAGGGGAACAGCCTTGGTGAATACATCGGCCGGTCGGTGTTGACGCATCTCCGAGCGTGGCGTCAATGGTTTAGTTCGGTTTGCAGATCCAGCAGCCAATTCCACACCACGATGAATGGCAGCAGAGTCTGACTGATGGAAAGGGGACTGCAGATTGGTGGAAAAGGTGTCTGGGGCTTGCGCAGAGCATTGGATTCGAGCTCCTGTGGCAACCATAGGTGGAGGGATGTGTCGTGGCCCAGTAGCGCTGATATGAGTTGCAGGGACTTCAACTTGTGTTAGCAATACGAAGAATATAATAAATCTTTATTTACTTACAGCGCCTACTGGGTTTCACCTTTTCAATGGCACAGCGGGTAGCAAAACGCTGCAAATGAGGTACTGCGAACTCTTGTGCGAATGCCTGTACTAAGACGGCAACATCTCCGCCAATTCGCTGCTGCGTTTCCTGCAACTCATGCAGTGTGATATAGACATCGATAAGAACTTGTGCGGGGGAGAGATTTGGCGGAGTTTCACTGCCAGCGCATCAAATGAGAACGGATATCCCACCATCAAGACGGTCTTGCATGGTGAGCTGAAAAAATGCTGTGAGCTTTAAGAAAAAGAATCAAGAAAATAACTGACTGCATCAAAGACATCCTGGGTGGCTGCATCAAGCAGCTCGCTATGTGTGAGGGTCCGCTCTTCTGCATTGCTCGACTGATTGAAGCTGATATATGACGGGTGAAGACCCCCCAATGTCCTAGTCTGATAATGGGAGCCATCGATGTGAGAATCATGCCTGAGCAAAGCCTGTGCAGCCGCTTGACGCTCATTGTTGCTGAAGCCTGTGGCAAATGTAGCAGTATGATACAGCGCAGTGAGACCTGTCATGTTGAAGCGGCCGACCTGTTTGCCATCTGGAGATGGCAAAGATGCCATGGAGTGCAATGGCAAAGATGCAATGGCTTGAAGGGCAGTGGAGATGGCGGTTTTACGCCAGGTGCAGTGGTCCAAGTCGTGTTCGCTAGCTGAACAAGTATGTGGAAGAAATTTAGAGTAATGACGGCTACACTATTATGTACACATAGATTACCATTTGCATGTACTATCTAGAATGCAATGCCCAGCGCTCTACAGATAATCTACAGTTGTATGCTACATTATAGCGCTCTACATACAGTTGTATGTTACATTATAGCGCTCTACAGTCGTATGTTACATTATAGTGCCATAGTTTACCGCTGTACACTAATATCAGTCCTATATAATATAGAATCTACACCGAGTTGCACTATGGCGCTATAGCGCTACATCTCAATCCTATATAGAATCTCTACCTAGTTGTAACACTATGGCGCTATGTAATGATACTCTACAGTTGTATGCTACATTATTGCGCTATACAGATCCACAAGTTGTATGTTACATTATTGCGCTATACAGATCTACAGTTGTATGCTACATTATGGCTATATGTATTTTACCATTGTACATTACATCTCAGTCCTATAGAGAATCTCTACCGAGTATCACACATCCGTTGCAAGCATATATGGCAAAGTTATGAATTATGAAGCGATAAACTAAAGGTACACATTGCGGTATGTAGGTGGTGCCCAAGTTAGTCAATGATTGACTGTAAAAAGTCAGCCATGTCCTCCGTCAATGTGTCTTGTTCTTCGCGATCAATAGCATCAATGTCAGTATCCTCAGTATCAATGGTTGGCGAGATATCTGCAAGATCGTTCAGTTGACCTGTGAAAACATTAGCATGACATCCGAGTATGCCAATCAAACATACCTCGGTCAGCAACATCAGCAGCACGCTCAGCGCGGACACCAACACCCCTGACTCCAGAAAAACCCGCAAGACTCTCTATGCGATCCAAGCAGTAGCAATGCACCGCATTGATAGCTGCGCGAACGGTGTTGGCGTTGCAGCTCATGGCCTAGGTGCGGATCTGAAACTAGAAGTTCTTGTATGACGGTAAGCATATGACATTCTTCATCGCGAATGGCGGTGCGCAAACGGCGGACTTCAACATTGAGTCTAGTGATTTCTTCACGCGCTTGACAAAGTTTGAAGAATTTAGTGGTCGCTTCTCGATGTCCTGGCTTTGACCAAGCACTGCTTCGAATATCATTGCGGGAATATCGCAAGAGATCAAATTCGGCTAGAAAACCATAATCAGCGATATCTTTCCAAGAGATCTTGGAACGCGGTGGGTTTAGGGCTGTGGCCTGTGTGTTGTAGCGGTTAATAGCATTATGGATGGCTTCCAAACGACATTGTAGAGCCTTGCCGAGCTGCTGACGTAGCTTATACCCTAGAGAAAAAAACAACTCGTTAGCGTTGGTATTTCGGCATAGATAAATTTACCTGTGCCCGATAATGAAAGTTTGGAGAGTTCAAATAGCCTCATCACCACGAGACGCTCGAGCTCGTCTAGGGCAGTGCGGTACTTACCCAGGGACGCCTCCTCCTTAAAATGTTGGTACTCTGGCCCACCAATCTCCCACCGTTGGTCCACAGCCAATTGAGTCTCGATATGCGCAACAAGCCCTTCAGCATGTTGTAACTTCGCGTAGGAAGAGTCCACGCGAATCCGAGCGTGGGTGAGGGCGTTGTTGATATCCTCTAAACTACCGGTGTCTTACTACTTGAGGGTCTTATATGTTTTTGTGTAAATGTAGTGACACCACAACTACACTTTGATAAGACAAGAGTTGCCAACTCCTCAAGTACACGGTCAACGAATTTTCTAGTTTTCTCGGTTGATAACGTGTCGTTCGTGGGAGGCTCGACTATACAGTCTGTCGTTGGTTCTTGGAATGGGGTTCGGTTTTGGATGGGATGATAGACCTAGATGATAGGCCTGATACGATGAACTGCGTAGAATAGATGGACTAGACTACGTTGACGAATGGTTTGTCCGAATGGTCCTTGGACAAATATACGAGTGGATGCGCTACACAACACTTGGCTGAAGTGTGTGGATCCTTTGATGAACGAGGGACCTTTGGTATGGAGCAAAGTCCTTGGTGGTGTGGAATTGGGAAGCTGACTAAGCTTTACCCAGACAGATCCTTGCTGACGTAATCAAAGCAAGAATATCTCCTGAAGAGTTCTTTGTCCAAACAGCTCTTGGACAAAAGATATGGGTTGTGTGGGATGCTGACTAAGCTTTTCCCAGACAAATCCTTGCTGACTTAATCAAAGCAAGGAAACAGCAGTTCTAGACCAACAAAGGACTAGAAAAGAAGGTTAGGGTGACTAAATGCCCCTAACAACAGTAAAGATAATACAAGACTAAGATTATATCAAATCTTAGTGTAGTAAGGCTGTCAGTTTCAGCCTGCACTTCAGATGATAGATGTGAAGTGGGAAATCTCCAATATGGGGAGTCTCTCATTTCTCCTCAGAGAATTGAGCCTCCTTATATACATTTGGTGTGGGAAATATCCCAGGAACTGTATAGTACCAAGAAAATAGAAAGAGACACAAATCTCAGAAGAAATAAGGTAGTTGTAGCATAAAATGCAGAATTGAAGTGGAAAGAACACCAAAGGAGGAAAATGACTCATTCTGACTCATTTGACAGCAAATGACATCACTGTGGAGCAGTGTGGAGCATTTGTGGAGCAAAGTGGAGCTGAATGATATCATTGTGGAGCTATGACATCAAATGACATCATTGTGGAGTTATGACATCGAGTGACATCGTCCAAGATCAAATGACTCAATTCTGGAGTCACATGACTTCTCCTAGGGTTAATTACATGTTATGTAAGCTCAGATTGTGGCTGAAGCTCACATAACGTGCACAAATAAAAAAGAACAAGAGAAACAGAAGCAAGAAAGTCAACAAAGATAAACGTAAACAGAAGTAAACGAAACACGAGCTTTCTGCCACTTTTTACTTCTCTTGCCTCAACATAGAGTAATTAGTCTAAAGCGAAAGCTTTTGGACTAGTATACTCTTATCCTATTGAATGTCAATGTATGATCTTCGTTTCATGCATGACATCCGCGGGGCAGTGAGATTACAACTGTCCCCAGTTGTCTTCTTCGTCATGAACAATCAGTGATCTGGTTGTTCATTTCTTGGCACATGCCAGCGATGCTCAAAATGTGCAATACGCATGGCAGTCTCCAAAATAGTTAAACAGTGGAAGAAGTAATAGCATAATGGGCATAGCAGTCGGACTTCGTCTTGAAAATCGTGATCCCAGTAGTACAACATCTGGCGGAAATGGCCATGTACATCACGATTAGGGTCCTCGTGTAGATGCATTTGCTCGCATTCATCTAGCAGAGTTTCAAAAGTCTCTGTGATAAACATGCGAGTCAAATGAACTGCTATGTAGTCGACATTATTCATTATGCTATTGAAGAGGTGTGTGGTTTTGATGGTGGTCTTTGTTATCGCCAAGGAGGTTATTGAATTGGGATGGGTGGGATGGGCTATCTGTGCAGATTGCAATAGAAGTGCAATGGCAATGGACAGATATTACAGTGAAGGAATACGTCGTCTTCACGGTCTTCAGTGATATGCAGATTCCAATATGATAGTGTGACGGTGACAGGTGTGACAATGACAAGATATTGGTTTGGCAGGACAAGTCAAGACCAGAGTGGCGCTTCATGATTGATGGTCCCATTGACGACATCATAAAATTTTGGCACATTGATCTTTTGAGCGAACCATTGCCCCAGAAGTCGAGCACATCCCGATAGATGACTACATGGAAAGTTCATGTCCCTAATAGCACCATGGGCTATATTTTGGGGATACTTCATGAACATTACATGCCCCTAATAGCAATACTGGCTATATTCTTGGGCGTACATGTTCCTAGTCCGATGTGGGATACATCATGCTCTGCGTCCTTCTGTGTATCGGACAAATGATCCAAAAGAAAAGGCCTATTGTTTCTGTGTTTTCGCCAGCTTGAACTTGCTGCATATTGATAATGATAGAGTGGTCAATTGTCAGACTGATTCGTCTGTCGTCCTTCGTCACTTGAGGGAATCGATTCTTCGTCATCACTGGAACTTTCTTCTATGCCCGATAATTGTGCTTCGTCTCCCTCTAATGCATCGGCAAGTGAGGGTAGGATAGATGAATTGCGCGTGATGTAGGGAATTAATCGGAAGGCAGCTATTCCTCTTCGCGATAAATTTCCATTCATCTCCCTAAGCACGTATGATCCTCCTTTTGTTTGTCGGTCGACAACAAAGGGTCCCAGATAACGAGGTTTGGTCTTGCGGTTAAGTTCTTTCTCAACCTGTGTGTTTCGAACAAGAACCAAATCTCCTGGTTTAAAAGCATTGCGTTGCAAACGTAGGTGATACTTCTCTTCAAATTGAAGCTTTGACTTGAAGCGAGCTTTCTTTAATGTCTGAGCTGCTTTTTCCAAGTCTTCTGGACGGCGTTCAATTTGGCGTATCCTCAACACAAGAAAATCAGCCGGATCCATATTGGTATGGAAGCCTTCCACCATAAAAGTTGCCTCCATGAGGTCGAAGGGCAAGACAGGGTGGACTCCATGTACCAAGTAGAATGGCGATAATCCAGTAACACGACTGGAAGTGATATTTTCTGCAAATAGTGCAGCTTTCACTTTGTCTGGCCAGTGTGAAATGTGCTTTCCACAGCTCTTCACAATGGCTTCCCTAATATTGAAATGTCCACGCTCTACAACTCCATTTGCTTGGGAATTGTAAGGGGAAATTTGAATCTGGGGGATATTGACACGCTTGAGGAGTTGCTCAAACGCTCCTCTGACTTCTGGTCCATTGTCTGTAACGACTTGGCCAATGGCACCATAGCGGCAATATAGGTCTTCCCAGAAAAAGTTGGCCATGACTTTGGCCGTCGCTCTTCGTAGGGCTCTTCCTTCTACGAAGCGTGATAGATCGTCCCTGGCAACAACAAGATTTTTGTAGCCTGCAGCTGAAGGCATCTTCATAATATCCACATAAATCTTGACGAAGATTGTTGCAGGGGTAGGAAATGGTAACCGGAATGTGCATCTTCCGTACACTACGGATTTGGCAGTCATGGCAAGATTGCACATGATGCTTAACATCCGTGTACAAGTGAGGCCAATAGAAGCGATATCGAATGGTCTCAAATGTTGCTTGTACTCCTTTATGTCCTAGCTCTTCATGTGCATTGAGCAGGATAGACACTCTCTTATCACTGTCGAATATGACCAGCAAAGGTGGACGGCCAGGCAAGTGTTTGAACATCTGGTCGCCTCGGACAAAGAATTGTGTTGCCCGATTGACAAACTTTTTGCGCTTTGCTGTCTTTTCGAAATGAGGTGCTTCAAGCGTAGTCAAGAACTTGAATATGTCACGAAGGGACTTTTCTTGACTAGCTGAACTGGTGAGCACAGATGGAAGTGATGTTGATGGATAAGAGGGTCGTGTTTGACATAGGAAGTGTGGTCGATAGCGTTCTTGAGACATGCCACTGTACAAGGCAATGTCATCCAACCAGGAATCTTCATCTGGTTGTTCTTCTTCGTCTTCTGCTAGAGGTCGTCTTGATAATGCATCAGGACCTTTGAACCTCGTAGCAGGTACATGAATGAGGGTGAAATCGAATAGCAATATTCCTTGGATCCAGCGATTGATAGTAGCATTTGGCTGGAGGTCCGGTTCATTAAGCATTCCCTTGATGTACTTTGCATCGACTTCGACGTGCAGAGTTTGTACACCAATAATATGAAGTCGGAAATGCCTAAGAGCACGAAATAATCCATAGAGCTCTAGCTTTGGTTGGGAATATCTGGATTCTACATCTCCCATTGGAAGTGAACCATAGCGTGCGGGTCTTCGCTTTCCATTGTTATCAATTTGAGAGAGTATGATTCCAACCGCGATAAAGCTAGAGTCCACTGAGAGAATGACAGGGTTGGGTGATGTGTAGTCGATACTGCGCATGGCTGGGGCTGATGAAACTCTCTGTTTGAGAATTGTGAAAGCTTCATCTTGTTTGTCTCCCCAAATAAATGGTGTGTCTTTCTTCCATAGACACGTGATGGATTTCGCTAGTTCTGAAAAATCCTAGGATCCATATGCGAACAGTACCACACAGTCCCATAAATCCTCTGGCTTCCTTGACAGTGGTAGGAATAGGCCATTTCAAAATCTTGGAGACTTTGTCTGTGTCTGGTAGTCTCCCTTCAGGTGTGCACCGTTGTCCAACAATAAGGACTTCTGGTAGACACAGCTGGATTTTGGTAGCAGCAAAGGTAGCACCAACATCTTTGATACGGTGCATTACCCTGTGGACATTTTCTGCATGCTCCCAAATAAATCTCCGAATACCAGGGTTTTCTTTTAAAACCTCTGGTTTGCCATCATCGTCCAGATAGACTGATTTAGGTCCTTTGACCGGTAAGTCATCTATGAACACATTGGCCACATGGGGAATTTCATCCTGCAGGACAAAGCTAGTGCATTTTTGAAACTCTGCAGGTGCATTCGTATATCCCATAGGCAAAGCCGTTAACGTAGCAATCCCAATGGTGTTAGGAAAGCTGTCAAGTCTCTGCT